ACAGTTTATTTTCACTCAGTTAAGGGTGGATTCTCTGTGTTCAGTTACAGTTTATTTTCATCCAGTTAAGGGTGGATTCTCTGTGTCCAGTTACAGTTTATTTTCATCCAGTTAAGGGTGGATTCTCTGTGTCCAGCTACGGTTTATTTTCACTCAGTTAAGGGTGGATTCTCTGTGTCCAGTTACAGTTTATTTTCATCCAGTTAAGGGTGGATTCTCTGTGTCCAGCTACGGTTTATTTTCATCCAGCTACGGGTCCATTTTCTGTGTCCCGTTCCAGGCCCATACTCACCCAGCTCCAGGCCCACCATCGCAGGCCCAAGGCTTCCGCCATGTCGTCGCCCTCCAGACACGTGATCGACCCGTTGATCTGCTCGTACTCGGAAACCGCCGAGAGGCGCCCGCCAACGACGTTCTCGGTGTCCGCAAACAACGCCCATGCGCCCGGCGGCAAGCCGCTAGCCACGCAGCCCAGCGCGCCCAGCTCGTCGTGGACGCCGCTCGTGTCGCGGACCTTCAACAGCGAGTTTGGGTCTCTAAACTCCACGCCCAGCTCCAAGCTTTTCACGTCCATATGCAAGCAGGGCGGGCCCGGGCAGCCACAGCAGCAGCCAGACACCGACTTCGGCCTCAACTTGACCCCGTTCCTCACGCACAACATGAACCTCTTGGCCAACCCTCACAGTGCAGGAAACTTGGCGGTGGCCGGGACCTTCACGCCCTACTACGACAAAACCATGCACATGGCGGACTTCTTCATGGACTCGCCCATCCGCCAGACGCCGGGCAAGCCCGGCACCGTCACGCCGTCGCGCTTTGACTTGGCCGACGACCCGCCGCGTCTCCACGGCGCGCTTTCCGTGAAAAGACCAAGACCGGCCGCGTCCCACCAGCCCAAGCGCCCGGTCGCCCAGCTCGACACGCCGGCCCGCCACGCGGCCAAGAAACCCGCCGTCCCGCCCAGGCCGTACGACGGCGCGGACTCTGCCACGCCGCTGAAACGAAACGTGTTGCGGCCCGCGCCCGCCGCGGCGTTGAACAAAACGCCGCTCAAGCCCGGCAAGAGCCTGTTCCTCACGCCGGCGCCGGCCTGCGCGGTGTCGTCGCCGTCCACCGTGATCATGTCCAGCGCCGTCAAGACGCCTGCGCCGGCGCACACAGGCAAGCCCGTGCCCCCGCCCAGCCCGACGCCCCTCAAGGACACGCGGCCCGGCGCCGCGCCCGTCATGGGCATTTTCTCCGAGCGCAGGCCCGCGGCGCGCCGGCCGGCGGAGGCCGCGCCTGGCGAAAGACGGCCGGGCAAGAAGCCGGGCGCCTCTGGCAAGTTCCAGATCGTGTTCACCGACGTGCACACGTTGATGAACAGCAAGAAGAAGAAGAAGAAGGGCGCCAGCGGGGCGGCCAAGGACAGCCGGCCAGAGAGGAAGAAGGGCCGGGTGCAGGCGCGGCCGCCGGGTGCTGGCGGTGGCAGCGTCGGCCTGGACCCGGCGTGCGGGCCGCTGTTCCAGGGCGCCTCGTCGTTCTCCATGCCGCAGGACTACAACACGTCGATGGGCAGCTCCAGGGACTTGAGCATGATGCACCACTCCACGGCGAGCAGCGGCGCCGGCAACATGAGCGGCGCGGACCACGCGTCGTTCGACTTGATGCACGGCGGCTTGGTCTCGACGCCCAACGGGAAGTATCTTTTGGACACCCTGTTCGAGAGGCCGTCGCCGGGCGTGGTGCACGCCATGTCGGCGCAGCGGCTCGTGGACATGCCCCTGGGCGACGCCCTGGATAAGCAGCAGCAGCAGCAGGCGGAGATGCACGGCACACGCGAGTTCATGCCGCCCCCCAAGGCGTTTTCTCTTCAGCAGGCGGCACAGGCGGCACAGGCGGCACAGGCGGCACAGCGCCAAGACAAAGCCCAGTACGAGGCCCACGCACATGCTCCGCAGTTTGCGCCCCTGCATCACCGCCCGCAACAGGCGTCCTTGGGCATGAACGTGCTCATGAGCACCCCGCAGCACCAGAGCGTCATGCATGGCACCATGGCCGCGTACGCACTCGAGGAGCCGTCGCCCTCCGAGAAGGAGTCCATGCGCTTCCTCTACGACCAGTTGCATGTGCACCCGCCCGCCAAGTCGCCCCGCCAGCCACTTGCTTTTGCTGGCGACAGTCCCGTGGGCACGGGCAAGGGGAGCCCGGCCACGGGCCCCGCGAGGAAGCACGCGAAGCAGAGGCCGAGGCCGAAGAAACGCTAGTGTTTGATGTTTATGTACAGGGACTCGATTTCATTTAATACAGGGACTCGATTTCATTTAATACAGGGACTCGATTTCATTTAATACAGGGACT